ATAAATAAATACATAAAAACACTCAAAAGCCAGGTATAGTGGCGTACTGGGGAGAGGGTGGTTTGGGGCAAGAGTATCATGAGTTTTAGGCCAGCCTAGGCAGGCTACATACTAGTGAGACACTCAAAAAGGAAAAGGAACGAGAAGTGGGGGTCAGCAAGATGGCTCAGTAGGTAAAGGTACCCGCCACCAAGGCTCATGACCCAAGTTGGATCCCCAGGACCCACATGGTAGATACAGAGAACCAACTCCTGCACGCTGTCCTCTGACCTCCATATGCATGGCATGGAAGATATTCACCCAAACACATGCACACACTGTATCTTTTTTAAAGGACTCAACCTGAATGTGGTGGTGCATGCCTTTAATTCCAGCACTCAAGAGGTGGAGGCAGGTGGATCTCTGAGTTTGAGGCCAGTCCAGACTACATAGCAAAATTCCAGGTCAGCCAGAGCTACAGAGACAGACCTTGTCTCAAACAAATAAATAAAGTAAAATAAAAATTTTAAAAAACACCAACAGGGCTAGAGAGATGCCTCAGTAGTTAAGAGCACTGGCCCCTCTTGCAGAGGACCCAGGTTTGATTCCCAGCACATGGCAGATAACAACCATCCAGTTCCAGGGGATCCAATACCCTCTTACCTCCTCGGGCACTGCACAACATGGGTGCACCTACATACATGCAGGCAATACACTCATACATATAGCATAAAAATAATAAATAAATAAATAAATGGAGCTGGAGAGATGACTCAGCAGTTAAAAACACTGTTCTTGCAGAAGACCCAGGTTTGAATTCCAGCACCCACATGGCAGCTAACAACTGTCTTTAACTCCAGTTCCAGGGGACCCGACAGCCTCTTCTGTCCTCCCCCGGCATTGCACGACTCAGGTGCACTTACCTACATGCAGGCCTAACACTCATACATATAAAATTAAAAAATGATAATAAATAAAAATATTTTTAAATAATATGTAAAATAAAAAAACAAAAGTACTCAGAAAGAAGCTAGTCAGGCTGGAGATATGGCTCAGTTATTAGATCTCTTGCCTAGCATGAAAAAGACCCTTGGTTCACTCCCCAATACTGTGGGGAGGGGGGTGGGGGTGCGGGTGCGGGGATAAAGAGGAAAAGAAAGAAAAAAAGGAAGAGAGAGAGAAGACAGCCAGCATTCCAGAAACGATAGCCCAGACGAGCTACTTCATTTCCCTCCATCCACTTGTCTCACTTATTTACTTTGTCGTACTAGGGACTGAACCATGTGCTCAGCAATCAGTCTTACAACTGAACTATAGTCCCAGTCCTTTTGTTGTTGCTTGAGAAGGGGCTAAGTTGTTCAGGCTGGCGTTCAATTTTGAATTTGTGATCCTCCCATCTCAGCCTCCCAAGCTGCTGGGATTACAGGCCTGCGCATCCGCTCCTCCCATTTTGTTCCTTTAAAATGAAGTCCAGGCTGGGTGTGGTGGTGCAAGCCTATAGTCCCAGCACTTGGGAGACAGAGGCAGGCAGATCTTTGTGAGTTCAAGGCCAGCCTGGTCTACTTAGTGAGTTCCAGGCCAGCTGGGACTATTGAGGCCCAGCTTCAAAAAGACAAAAAAAAAAAAAAAAAAAAAAAAAAGCTAAAAAATGAAGTCCAGGAGGCACTTGGGAGGCAGAGGCAGATGGATCTTAGTTTGAGGCCAGCCTGGTCTACATAGTGAGTTCCAGGACAGCTACAGGGAGACCCTGTCTCAAAAAGACCAAAAAAAAGGAAGTCCAGGGACCAGAGAGATGGATCAGTGGTTAAGAGCCCTGGCTGCTCCTGCAGTGGACCCAGGTTCATCCCCAGCACTCACCTGGTGGCTAACAATGATCCATAACTACAGTTCCAGCGGATCTGTTGCCCTCTTCTGACCTCCATGGGCATTGTACAACACGGGTGCACTTATATACATGCAATCATAACATTCATACACATAAAATAGAAATAATAAATAAAATTGGGTTTTTTTGTTTTTTTGTTTTTGTCTATTTGAGATAGGGTCCCCCTGTAACCCCAGCTGGCCTGGAACTTGGTATGTAGAACAGGCTAGCCTCTAACTCATAGAGATCGGCCTGCCTCTGCCTCCCAAGCACTGAGATTAAAGGCATGTGTGACCATGCCTGGCTTAGAAAATAGTTTTTAAAATAATAAAATAAAGTCCAGGGACTGGGGAGATTGGCTCAGCAATTAAGAACACTTGCTGTTCTTCCAGAGGACCTGGGTTCAATTTCCAGCACCCACATGGCAGCTAACAATGGTCTATAGGGAACTCTAGTTCCAGGGAGCTGACACCTCTTCTGGCCTCTGAGGGACCTTGCACACATGTGGTGCACTTACTTACATGCAAGCAAAACACTCATACACATAAAATAAAATAATAAAATATTTAAAATGAAGTCCATTTGTGCGGATAACCTTTGTGGCCACCTTCTACCCTGAGTCCACTGATTTTCAGTCAGGAAACATGGCACAGATTGATCCTGTCCCAGCTGAAGAAACTGAGGCCCAGAGGTAAAAGCAACCTACCCAGATGATTCCTGGTCATCTCTGAGCCTGGACGGATAGATCTCTTTTCTCCTCTGAGGAGGGGCAGAGTGATTACATGGCTCATTTCCCAGGTCAGGTAGGCCGGGCAAGTGTTTTACCACTAGAAAGTGACTCAACCCACAGCCAGCTGGCTCAGGAATGTGGACCTAGGGACTCCTCAGTCCTGAGGAGGAGGTGGGAGAGGGCAGGATCACCTGTAGGACCACAGAGATGGTCTTCTCGCCTGCCTTGGCGGCCCGCCATTTCCGGTAAGTGTCTGCTTTGAGGAGGTTCTCTGCACAGTGGGTCTGCAAGCAAGAGCAAAAAAGAAGGGTTAGGTAAATAAAATAAAACAAAGTAATCGTGGGTTTTGTTTTTTGTTTCGTTTGGTTTTTATTTTATGAGTGTATTGCCTGCATGCATGTAAATGCACCATGTATATGCAATGCCCATGGAGGTCAGAAGAGGGCACTGGATTGTCCTGGAACTGGAGTTACCGATGGTTGTTAGCCGTCATGTGGGTGCTAGGAATCAAACCTGGTCCTCCGCAAAAGCAGGCAGGGCTCTTAACCTCTGAGCCACCTCTCCAGCCCCTGGTTTGGTTTTCTCAGACAGGGTCTCCCTATAGCCCCAGCTGGCCTAGAATTCGCTATAGACCAGGCTAGCCTTGAACTCACAGAGATCCGCCTGCCTCTGGGATTAAAGGCGTGCAATAAATTAATTGTGTGTTTTTTGTTTATTTTTAATGACAGGCTTAGCCCCTCCCTCCTCGGGTCACCCTTTGCGAACCCCCACATTTAGGTCCCTGTCAGCACCCCCCCACACACATACACCCGCCTCGTGCTGTCCTAATGCTTTCTCCTTGAAAGTTACCCAGAGATTCCCCCTTTTCTTTTCTCTCCGGAAGTCCACAGACGCCCCAAAGTTCCCCGACTTCCGCCGACCCCACCCCCGAACCCAGTCTAGAATGCCACGAAGTTCCCGCTGCGCTCCCGAAGTTCTTGAGGAGCCCCGTGCAGGACTCCCCTTCCGGTCGCCCCCTCACCGAGTCCTGGCTGCTGCAGGACACAACGTGGCGGAGGCTGATCTCCGGCATGTCACCGCCGTGGAGTTGCCTCACACCACAGAATGAAGAAGGGTCCCGGCTCCTGGGCTAGACCGGGGAGCGCGCTCTGCGCGGGCTACAGTGCGCATGCGCGCGAGGCTCGGGCCTTTCAAACCGCGGCGCGCCAGCGCGCACGTCGGCAGTGCGCATGCCCAGTTGGGCTTCTCTAGAGCAAGGCCTTATGTCCCCTTAGCAACAAGCTTCCCCGCCTCTCTCTGATCCCACCAAGCTCTCGCCTGGCTTCCAGATGACGTACAGACCTTGCTTTCTGGGCGCCTAGTAACAGGAGCGGCCTCAATGATTGGTTTCTGCATAAACTTCGCCATGGTCATTGGACGGCGATGTTACCAACCAAACCGAAGCCTTAGAAACGCGGAGGATAGCTGAGGTTTCCAGGAGCCTGGACCTCTTCTGCAATAGGATCGCCAACACCTGTTTTTGTGGCTAAGCTCTGCTCCCCCCACTTCCTGCAGAGACAGACAGACAAGCAGAGACATCTTACGTCACTCCTGGCCTGAGCTCGAGAGAGAGATCCTAAATAAAACACAAAGCATGTTCTACAAACATACAAACATACAATACGCACACGCACACAAATAGATATCTTACATCACTCTTAGCCTCTGGCCTGAGATCAAGAGAGAGAGCCTAAATAAAACACAAAGCATGTTCTTCTCCAAACATACAAACATACAACACTCACACGCACACACACACACACACACACACACACACGCACACAAATAAGTATCTTACATCACTCTTAGCCCCTGGCCTGAGATCAAGAGAGAGAGCCTAAATAAAACACATGTTCTTCTCCAAACATACAAACATACAACACACACACACACACCCACACACAAATAGATATCTTACATGTCTCTTAGCCCTTGGCCTGAGATCAAGAGAGCTTAAATAAAACACAAAGCATGTTCTCCAAACACACAACACACACACACACACACACACACACCACTCAGCCTAGCAGCCCAGGATGCTTCCACAAATGCCTTATTCTCCCACCATGTGCCCTGCAGGCATTTGTCTCCTTCTTCACCTGCCTCTGGCCACTGACAAGCACCCTCTGTTTGGTCCCCTTGGAGACCCAAGGGTGCAGTCCTGGGTGGGGTCAGATCTGGAGAGAGGCCAAATACAGAAGAGAGAGTTGAGTGTCAGACAGGCAGGCACTGGAAGGAGAAGGGAAGGACAAGGCTCCCGGCCTCCACAGGGCGGGCCTAGACATGCCAGGCGCTCCCAGGTAGGACCCAACCCACGCCAGGCGCCTCCTTGGGAAGAGCGAAGAGGGAATCTTAGACTTTCAGTTATTTTACACGTACAAGGAATCAAGTGACCCAACTCCAACCGTGGGCTTGGAGAGGAAAAAATAATGATTGTGGGAAGGTGAGAGAACATGTAAGTCATCTTATGGGTCATGCTTGAAGTAGGCACCAAAAGTCTAGAGTCCTGGGGTCTTTCCCTGTGGAGAAAAGGTCTGAGCTCAAGCTGTCCAGCTGCCCTGAGGCAGTGCAGGACTGCCCTGCGTTCTGACCTCAGCTATTTCTCACCCCAGGGTGAAGGTGGGACCAGCCCCACCCTTGCTCAGCTTCTTATAAGGGGCAGAGGACCTGAGACTGCATCTTCACACAGCATGATGCCGTCCAGAAGACAGAGGACCTTTCTGCTGGCCTTCACCCTGCTCTGCACCCTGTGGGGTCTCGGTAAGCAATGAGGGAACCGGGACTCCTTTCCTAGTGCCTCTGGGACCAAAAGAGAGAGCACTGAGCGAGGTCTTCAAGAGAGGAGAGGTATCCTGGGAAATTAGATTTATGAAGGATGCAGAGAGTAAGGGAAAAGCCCAGGGCCCAGGAGGGTTTGATGGGCCCTAAATCAATCATCTATCTATCTCCTAGGCAGGGCCTCCAAACATGGCATCTGACTTCTAGAAAAGCAGATGAGAACTTGACTATCAGGGGAAAATCTTTAACATTTAATTAATAATGAGTGGGAAAGAGATTTCTTTTCTCCCTGGACTTAGAGTCTGTTCAGGCCCCCAGCCTCGTTCTGCACATAGACAAAGCACCCCAGGCCTCTCTGGGCCCTCTCTCTCAGGATCAATGCCCAGGTTTCTTCTGGTCCTCAGTCTCCCTCCTTGACCTGGGACACAGACCTCAGAGTCAGGTACCCCTGGGTGAGCCCCTACTGAGTGCTAGGCTTATGTGGTACATTCCGGGAGGAGAAGAGCACACCCCAAGAACCAGCTGGACCTGAAGTTTTACAAAAGCCCACAGAAACCTCTGCCACGACCCCTCCCTGCCCCCGAGCTTGCTCAGAGGACCCTGGCATCCAGTCCCCAGCCTTGTAATTATTAAGTAAACAGTCTCCATGGTGGAGTCCCTTCCCGCCCCTGGAAGCCACTTTGCTGGCACCTCCACCACTTCCTCATCAGCCTCTGGACAGTTCCCTGGACAGTAGTCAGTGCCCCACCCATGAAAAGCCAGGAAGACACGGGTCCCACCCTAAAAGCCTGTCCTCTCTGAACCCCAAAGTGAAACTGATGGTCTGGAGACCACGGGGCCATGCCACACTTTCTGCTTCCCACCCCGACTCTTGCAGGGTACCCCCTACGGTGTGAGGTATGCAGGAGTGATGGGCAGAAGTGCAGTGGAAAACTGAAGACCTGTGACTCTGACAAGGACACATGCGTGATTATGGTTGGCGAATCCAGCACAAGTAGGACAATGTGACTTTGGACAAGGGGGGCCAGGGTACCTTCAGGGTAGAAGATACCACCCAAGGAAGGGGGAATCCTAAGAGTTCTCACTGTGGGAAGAAAATCAGAGCTGTCAGGGAAGAGGGAAAGACCATCACGAGATGGGGAAGGGGGAAAAAAGTGAATGGTGTGATAGAAACCAATGTGTCAGAGATTCTGAAAATGAGCTTGTCCTAGAGACAGGAAGATGCAGGAAGGACACAGTGGCACAAGGAGCTGGTGAGAAGGAAATAATCTTAACAGCAAGAGGCAGAGTGGAGGGTGGGGCAGAGGTTGGGGGGAGACCATTCTGGACTGGAAGTGGCAGATGATGTTAGAGTCAGGGGAAAAGCCAGGAGAGGGGCAACCCCAGTCTGAGGAAGGAAGGTAACCCCAATGTAAGGAGCAAATCTTTTAAATTAAGAGTAGAATAGGGTGGGGTGGCCCAGAACTGTGGACCCAGGATTGGAGAGGCTGAAACAGGAGGATTCTCCTGAGTTCAAGGCCAGCCTGGGCTACATAACAAGATCCTACCTCAAAAAAAAAAAAAAGAAAAAGACCATTTGGAGGGGTAGGGGGAGGATGGAGAGGGAGGAGGCATGAATCCCCTGGAACTGGAGTTAGGGATGGTTATTAGCCGCTATGTGGGTGCTGGGAACCAAACCTGGGTCCTCTCTAAGAGCATCCGGTACTCTTTCTTTCTGAGCAATCTCTCCAGTCCCCTTTTTAATTTTTTTTATTGGCCAGGCATGGTGGTGCACACCTTTAATCCCAGCACTTGGGAGGCAAAGGCAGGTGGAGCTCTGTGAGTTCAAGGCTAGCCTGGTCTACATAGTGAGTTCTAGTCCAGCTGGGGCTACAGAGAGATCCTGTCTCAAAAAAAAAAAAAAGAAATCAAAACAAATTTTTTTATTTATTACTTTTATTTTATGTGCATGAATGTATTGCCTACATGTAAGTGCATTCGTGTCATGCAATATCCATGGAGGTCAGAAGAAAGCACTAGATTCCCCTGGAACTGGAGTTACAGACAGTTGTTAGCCACCATGTGGGTGCTGAGAACAGAATCTGGATCCTCTGCAATAGCAGCCAGTGCTCTTAACCACTGAACCATCTCTCCATCCCCTTAGTTTAAAAAAGTTATATTTTTTAAAGATTTATTTTTGGCTTTGGGAGACAGGGTCTCCCTGCAGCCCTAGCTGGCCTAGAACTGTCCATGTAGACCAGGTTGGCCTCAATCTCACAGAGATCCACCAGCCTCTTGCCTCCCCAGTACTGGGATTAAAGGTGTTTGCCACTATGCCCAGTGATTTATTTTATTTTTATTTATGTGTACTTATGATGTATGTCTGCCTATTTGTATGTGCACATGTATGTGGCTGCCCACAGAGGCCAGAAGAGGGGGTCAGAGCTCCTGGCCCTGGGGTTACAAACAGCTTAGTGTGGGTGCTGGAAATAAAACTTGTGCCCTCTGGAAGAGCAGCAAGTGCTCTTAACCAAAGAAGTGGTGAGTTGGGGTGGTATAGGGTGAGGAGGGATGGGGAGGCAGCCATTGACATCCACCTGCTGTTCACTCCTGTCCCCACTCTGCAGAGGGTCACAAGTCAGTGGGCACCATCAAAACCTGCATGAAGTCTAAAGATTGCTTTTCTGGCATAGTATCGACCACCATGAGTGCCCATGACTACATGGTGTCCAACACCCACTGCTGTCAGACTGATGCTTGTAACACTGGATCCCTGCCCCGTAAGTGCCGCCCCAACAACAGCCTGAATGCCCTGTGACATTGCTGATGTTGGGCCCCAGTTCCTTTTGGAGTGCCAAAAGGCAGTATCCGCCAACCAACCCAGTATCCCCAGGGGTCTGGAGGAGGTTGGGGTAACAAATATTGCTCTCTGCCTTATGCTCCATGTTTATCCTAAGCTCCCCCGAACAACCGGACGGAGAACGGCCTGGTATGTCCGTCCTGCGTCGCGCCCTTCCGGGACTCGTGTTCAGGATCCCAGTTAGCTCGCTGTGTGGGTTCTGAAAGCCACTGCGTCTATCTCTCCGGCAATGTTCACGCTGGTGAGTGACATCTGGGATTTGACAGAGAAGGCGGGGAGGGGGGGTACCGGAATGAGAGGCCCCTACTTTTCCTTTCCAGAGGAGGAAGGGGGCTCCAAAGAAGTGGATGGGGTGGGGGTGGGGGTGGTCTGACTCCTGGGTCAAGCAGAAGAGACTGATTCCTCTCCAAAATTCCCTCCCAGGTATCATCAAGCCCAAATTTGCCACTCGGGGCTGTGCTACAGAGAGTGTCTGCAACACCAAGGCCGGGGCCGAGGTGCCCTCCATCACCTATGAGTACTACCTGAATCGTGCAGACTGTCTCCCAGCCCCCCCGCCCCGCTGGCAGGGGTGAATGAAGAACCCAGGATCCCCATTTGTACTCACCCTGAGCTTCCCACATTACTGAAAATAGATAATAAATAAATAATAAACAAATAAATAATCAAATGAACGGCGAATCTCACTCCTTATGACCAGATGCATCTTGGGGAGGTGGGATATAGAGGGTAGAGGTCGCAGTGTTTTTCCTGATTCCCCCTCCCTTGCCTGGATTCAAAGATTAGAGGATCTGTGGTGACACAGGCTGACTGAGTCAGGAAGATCATGAGTTCATGGCCAGCCTGGGCTACATAGCCAGACCCTATCTCACAGAAAAACATAAAAAAGAGTCAGGTATGGTAACTCATGCTTGTAATTCCAGCCTGTGGGAGGTGGAGACAGGAGGATTAGTTCAAAGTCATCCTTAGCTACATAACGAATGAGACCTAAGCTGGGCGTATCGATGCCTGCCTTTAATGCCAGTACTTGGGAGGCAGAGTCAGGCAGATCTCTATGAGATCAAGGCCAGTCTGGTCTACATAGAGAGTTAGACCAGCCAGAGCTACAGGGACATCCCGTCTCAAAAAAACAAACAACAGGAGGCTGGAGAGATGGCTCAGCATTTAAGAGCACTGGCTGCTCTTGCAGAGGACCTGGGTTTGATTGCCAGCATCTACATGGCAGCTAACAATCGTCTGTAACTCCAGTTCCAGGGAATTCGATGCCATCTTCTGACCTCCTTGGGCATTGCACAACACGGGTACACTTACACACATGCAGGCAAAACACTCATACATAAAATTAAAAAATAACAAATATAGCAGACAGCCTGAGAGGGTGGGTTCGGACCTCCATGGGGCTCAGAGAGTGCCGGGTTCTGGCCTCCAACTACCAGAGGGCCTGACAGCCCCCAGATCCTGCCTCCATGTGGTGGACCTTTTAATAAGATGATGCTATACAGCAGTCCCTTCTGCATGAAATAACTACCATCATCATGACTTCAGCTGAGCCTGAGCGCTAAACATAGTCACAAATGGGCTTGTTGACAGTTGTGCTCATTCATTAAAGGAGGGCCAAGCAGGTTTACTGGACCCTCACCTGAGTATCCAGCCACTCTTCCCAGCCAACTAGTCCAGCCTTGGAAGACAAAAGAAAAATGAGGAAGAACCCAATAGAGGGATGCTTTTGGGAGCCCTTGTCAAGAAATTCCAATGGACTTTCATATGAAAGTTTGAAAATTGCCCTGTTCTGACTTTTTTCTAGTTCCAGGTCTAGAGCTTGTTATGCTAATTACTCTTGCCTTTACTTCTTCACATCTCCTATTCATGATTCAAGGACTTTCTTTTCCCCTTAGAGACAAGAGTTATGCAATTTGGGAATCTTTCAGATAGACCCACTAAAGGGGTACTCCAATTGCCTCACCCTGCATCCCTGTTCAGCATGGAAGAAGCCAGAGCAGTCTGCGTCCCAATTCCCTATTGGCAATTTGGGTAACCTCTTCAGAGGATGGCGTGATAAGAATAAGAGGTAGGAATTGGCTAGGCAGTTAGGGTAAAAAGACCCCAAAGAAATGTAGCCAGTTTCTGGGCTAAAAGTCAAAATGTCCTTGGGCCTTTTAGCAACACGCTCTGTTCCAAAGGCAAAAAACGTCAAAATGTCCAAAGTATTTGGGAGCTAGTATCTAATTCTTAAAAGATATTAGGGTTACCTCTTCAGAGGGGGGAACGTTGGAGGGGAGGGAGTGAGCATGGATTTGATCAAAACACCTTATATGCATGTATGAAATTCTCAATAAAGTTTTTGTAAAAGTTTTAAAAAAAAGAAAAAAAGGAAAGAAAAAAAACCAAATATTTTAGGGGCTGGAGAGATTGATTGCTCAGTGGTTAAGAACACTGACTGTTCTTGCACCCAGGTTCAAATCCCAGCACCCACATGGCGGCTAACAACTGTCGGTAACTCCAGTTCGGACAGAAGAGAGGATCTAATGGCCTCTTCTGTCCTCCGTGGCATTGCATGACACAGGTGCACTTAAACATATCCAGGCAATACATGCATACACATAAAATAGAAATAATAAATAAAATTCGTAAAGTTAAAATTAAATTAAGAGGATGGTCACTGCCTTGTATTAAGGGGCACTCTTGTACTAAGAATTTTACATTTTATGATGTTATAATCAAAATTCTATGGAATTGGTTTTTTGCTCTGACTGATATTAGTTGAGGCAGAGCTTTATTATGTAGTCCAATCTGTCATCAAACTTAAAGCAAACTTTGTGCTGGGATTATAGATGTGAAGAACCCACCCAGCTAAACTTGATATTATCCCACTTTACATAAGGAAAAACTGAGGTAGATTGTGGGTGGCATTTGCCTTGGATCAACCAGCTATGATGGGTCAGAATCCTAGTCTGTCACACACGCCAAAGACCTTGGTCACTTCTCTTGACCAACCTCTCCAGCTCTTTACCTCAGTTTTCATGTTTACAGCATGTGGCTATTAACAGAACCTAATAGGGTTGTTATAAGATGAAAATGCTACTTTAAGAGCCCTGACTGCAATGTTTATCCTTTAAGGGAATGATGGTCCTACAGTAAATAATAATCATTTTAAAAGCTGCTATTTACTGAGAGGCCATTAGCGCGTACCAAGTGGGGCAAGCTACATTATGCTACAGTAACAACTTGCTAATCTCAGTGGCTGAAAACAACAAAGTTGTATGAGTCAGCTAGTGCTACAATAATGCCATGTAACAAACCATCCCCAAACTAAGTAAGAGTATTCTTGTTTCTAAGGGCATGTGGGTGGGCTGTGGTGGCTCCGCTTCTAGCTGGTTTGAATCTGGAACTGGCTACTCCATGGACTTCCACAATTTGCTGGGTCAGTGGCTCCCTAGCAGCTGTTCTCATAGCATGAATGTCAAGTGCATTTTTTTTTAAGGTTAGTGCTGGTAACATTCCATTGAATGAGTCATGATGCCAAATATCTGGTGGATGAATACCCATTCACAAAAGGCTAATGCTTTCCTTTGCCCTACAAGTTTAGCATAACCCAAAGTGGGTTTGGTTCATTCCAGTCACGGATCAGCCAATTTCTGTGTCAGACAAAAAGTGCCTAAAACGTCTCTGCTGGATGATTACACTGCTGTGTAATCACTCTTTGACTCCTCGGCTGCAGCTCCTCACATGGCTTTACTCAACCACACAGGGACCATGAGGTGAAACCCTGGCCCACATTAGAAGGTTGGGAGCTGGACATGGGCCATAGACAGCATGTGTGACCACCATGGCCTCCTGGACGCTGATCCTCATTTGTCTGCTTGAGAACACTACATAATAGGCACTGATGGTGTCATACTTGCTTTTGGAGATGAGTCCGAGGCTCAGAGAGAGATATCAATTGAAGATCATACAGCTAAAAAGTTGCAGAGCTTAAGATTTTAGCAGGGCCTGGTGTTATATACCTGAATCACAACACTTTGGAGGCCGAGGTAGGAGGGTGGTGAGTTCAAGACTAGCTTGGGCTATACACCAAGACCTTCTATCAGTTTTATTTCAGTACTGGAGATAAACCCAGGGCTTTAAATACACTAGGCAGGTGTTCCGCCCCAGAGCCACACCCCCAACCCCTCATGGGGGGGTGTTCACTATGGGCTTCATCTCTAGCCCTTCTCCTGGGCTTCTTCATGTGGCAGTGATGGCAAAAAGCCCAAGGACAGCCAAAGAGGAAGTCCAGTGCTCCAGCACTTTTCAAGGCTCTACTTGCATCATGTTTGCTGTTGTCCCAGTCCAGAGTAGGAGGGGAACACTCACCCAAGTGTCTGGCTGCAGAGAAGTTGACCATGGAGACATGAATGTGTCACGCTGGCTCCAGAGCTCAGTTCTTTAAGTATCACAAACTTGCAAGCTCTTAAAAATCATTTCAGCTAGCCAGGCGTGATGGCATATGCCTTTAATCCCAGCACTCAGGAGGCAAAGGCAGGCAGATCTCTGTGAGTTTGAGGCTGGCCTGGTCTACATAATGCGTTCCAGGCCAGCTGGGGCTACAGGGAGACCCTGTCTCAAAAATACCAAAACCAAACCAAAACAAAAAAACCATTAAGTCTAGCTTCCAGGATGGCAAACGCAGATATTACAGATAGTGTCCTATTCATAGTCCAGAATGCTTCCTGAACAGATTCCCCATCGTTTTCCTCTTTCAAATTCAGTGCTCCCCATTCTCGGCACTAGGAATCTAGACTTCCAGGCCAGTCAATCCCCAACCTCTTTCTCACTTCAAACCCAGAAAGAAACTGAACCTACTAACAGGCCCATAACCCCAACTACTCAAGAGGCCAAGGCCAAAAGATCAAAAGTTCCAGGCCAGGGACTGGAGAGCCGGTTCAGTGATTAAGAGTACTTGGTGTTCTTACAGAGGATGAGTTTGGTTCCCAGCACCCACTTCAAACAACCCACCACCATCTCTAACTTCAGATTCCAGGGACCCAATGCCCTCTGCTGGCCTCTGTGGGTACCACATACACATGGCAGACGCACAAAGATAAATACTAAAATGCTTAAATATTTCTAATGATTTTTTTTAAGTTAGAATATTCTAACTGAAAAACAATTACTGTGAAACTATTTACATTCTCATAGAATTATAAACATTTCTCAAGGAATACTTTACAGCACAACTTTTTTTTTTCATACAGAAGAATTCATTCCAAAGCAATTGACATTGAGACGTTTTCACATGCATTTCTAATCTCTATATACATGACTATCACTGGTCACAGTCGCCCACCTTCTGAGCTCCTCGGCATCTGAGCATGAATACA